AAATGCATATAAACTGGTAAACTGAGAAACAAAATACTAATAATAAATAATCAAATCAGAAAAGGTGTAATCTGATTTAATATCAGGGTAAAAAGGTTTTTGTGCAGCTTGTATGAACTTCTGGTTTCAACTGTATGTGCAGTTTGGAGGAGTGTGTGCTGATTTTTACCTGGAAGCCCAATTGAACGGAGAGCACAGAGCAAGGAGCCTGATGACGGCACGATTTACTTACACCCTAATATCTGCTATCTTAGCTGGTTGTTTCTGTAATAGTGTTGAAAAGAAGGTAGAGATATAAGTTAAAAGCCGTATCTGAGAAATCCAGTGTAAAGTTCAAGGCTAAAGAGGAACATGGAGAAAATGCTAGTTTCATATTTGCAGGGGTTTTTTTTGTTGTTGTTTTTTCTGTTTTTGTAGCTCAAACCTTTGTATGAATAGAATGGCAACATTGAACTTTTGCAGACTTTAAACATATTGACAGCAATGCCACAGGGCTAAAACAGGGTAAATGTGCTTGCAACATAAAAAGTTGCAGGAGTAAACATGATTAAATGGATTTATTTTATTTACTTTTATATAATAGACTAATGGACGTTACTAACCCTGTGTTTGTGTGTGAGAGAGGGTGTTTAAAGGCGTTGAACTTGTTAAAATTCACAGTTTTCCCCCAATCAGCCACCCACCATGTACGACGCTTGTAAATGAGATGGCAGCGAAACACACAATAGCTGCTCATTTTAAAGTCAATGTGGAATAAAAAGTAAAGTAGCTGTCACAGCTTCTGTCTGTGCCATGCCGACTGGCCTCTCCATTCATTATATTAATAAGCTGAATCTCGCTCAGTGTGTGTGCGTGTGTGTGTATCGGGAGGGAGAGAAGGAAGGACAAAAGCAAAAACAAAGTAAGCTAGTGAACCTTCTCCTGTTTAAAGCTTTAGACCTGCAGTCTCCCGACTCTGCTTTTCAACCAGGTGGCCTTTTTTTTGTCACCATCATGTGCCGACTGAGAGCGGCTAGAGAACAGACACAGCATATGGTCTCCCTCTAACCTTTTCCACTGCCTCCTGCGGTGCTCCCTTTTCTCGTTTTGAGTGGCTGCAACAAACCGACTGCCCGTCGAGAAGCAGCAGAGCGTGCGCTGGGCCACTCCTCAGCTTACATGTGTTTGCTGAACTTTACTGTCACTGCAGGGACAGTTTCCAGGTTGAATATCTTCCACGGAAACCCTTACATAACTCGGTGGAAAAGTCAGGTGTAAAAGAAATGCTTTGAAACTCAAAGCCCTCCCCACCAACACCCCCCACTGGAGTCTGCAGAAATGTGCTGTGCAAAATGGCTTTTAGTCACAGCGAGGACGCCTCTGGGCACATGGGGACTTTCAATGGCCGCCTGGACGGCAGAACAGCGCGCACCAAGGAGGATTATGTGCTCCTGTTTAGCTCCGCGTCCACACAAAGTGAATATGAAAAGTTTTTCTTTTCTTTCTTTTTTTTTTTTTTTTTTTGAGGGCATATTGTTCTGTTTTGCGGTATAAAAAAATGGAAGCGAGCAGATGCTGTCGTCCCTCCAGTGTCCAGCTCGCTGCTGGTGATAATCCTGTGGGGTTCAGGTGCAGGAATCTGTGAATGCTGTCGCGCGTGCGTGCGGCTGCGTCTTTCACATATATTTATATTTTTTTTTTCCGAGTTGTTTGCTTTTTGGATTCCCCTCCGCCGTGCTTTTCATCCTTGAACAACACGTCAGTCAGGTGCTCTCTGAGGACTACAGAGCGAGGAAGGAAGAGAGAGGAGAGGGGACAATGGGAAGGAGAAGGAGAGAGAGAGAGACAGACAGAATAAAAAGGGAGGGAGATGGAGTTTTGAAAGACTTCTAACTTCCAAGCTGACTGTCATAGTTGTGCTTGCCAGAGGGGAGAGCACCTTTAAGCATACCGGATGAGTAACGATGTGGAGGGACTACAAAAGCAAAGTAATACATAATAAGCAGCACAGAGTCTGCAGTGCTCTGCCAGCTAACCTACATGAGATTGGTGTGGAGCAGAAATTTTGGAAGCGCTTAAAATGTCAGCAAAGGCCCTCGCCTGAAAGGGGCTTCGCCTTTATGGCACGCTGTAATGAGATTTAGACGGAGTGCATGCAGTCGTTGGTTCGGGATGATCGCCTTGACACATGGATTTCCATAGAGATGAGGAACAAAAAAAAACAGACGAGTGATGACTAAATATAAAGCTGCAGCGCGGATAAGCAAACACATGTTTCTGTTTGCGAAGCGAAGATCACAGAAACAAGCAGTGGAATCATGCTGCTGTTTCTTCTTTATGCTCTCTGCCCTTATTAAACCCAAGAGCCCTTTTTTATTATTATTCTGGCCTTGATGCTAAAGGAAAATCTAGAAGCACGCTGCTGTTTGAACACAACGTCCCGTGGTTTGCTTTGTTGCACCACCCAGAGTTCAAACATTGGGGTATTTGAGTCCGCATTGACATGCAGCCAGACTTCTTCTTCTTTTTTTTTTTTGTGCCAAAACTAACTGTATCCTCGCAGGGATGGAGTGTAAAAAAAAAAAAAAAAAAAAAAAGCTTGGTTTGTCCTTTCCTCACAAATCTGCCCACAGCAGAGAAACTCAAAACATAATTTGTTACTTTTTAGCAGCCAGGAATGATCAGTGAGCAGCTGAGCTCAACTTTTTCTTTCGTTAGGCTCATAGGTGTCTGCTCTGCTGATCATAACATGGTAATCAGTGACCAAGCATGAGCAGGGAGAGTAATGGGGTCCTCTGCATGCTCCCTACATCCAGCTCCCTTTTTAAAATGCAAACCAGCTCCTTCGTAGTGACTTTATTACGTAGAAATGATAATTATGCCTCCAGTGGAAGCTGGCCGACTACAACTCTCAACACCATGTATTCATGGTGCCTTGTTGCTGAAGTATTTATGCACCTTATTTTTCACATTTTATGTTGCAGTCTTAACAGATTGCATTTACATTTTATGCAGAAGACTAACACAAAGCAGTGTATAGTGCAAGGGCAAAGATACGTGGATTTTATGGCTTTCAAAATTCTTTATGGACTAATATCTGAAAAGTGTGGCCTGCATTCCTATTTCACCTATGCTCCCAATTAAAATCCATTGCAGTAACCTTCAGGAGGCCTTAGAGGTCCGCCTGAGAATATTAGTGAACAAACATCATGGCTATCAAGCAGCTCAGGTCAAGCAGAGTTTTGCAGAAATTGAAAGCAGTTTTAGTTCAGAAAACAATATCTAAGGCACAAAGCGTGCCTCATAAAAGTATTCACACCTCTTTTCCACATTTCATGATGTGGCAACCGCAAAAAATGCAGTATTTTATTTGTATGTGGTAGATCAAGACAAATTATATTGAATAGGATAGAAAATCCTCATTTTCAATTTTATTTACAGTTGTAAAAAAAAAAAAAAGAAGAAAAAAAAATCACGCAATTGTAACCATAACAAAACGGTAACACTGAGAGCAGCAGTGATCCAAAGCTCAGGTAGGAGAACATGGCATTTATTTATTTTTTTGTCATGCACTACGCAAATCTATGAGAAAGCAGCAAGAAATAAAAACACTTCTCCTGAAAGAAACCTCACGAAGTCAGAAGCCATATAAACAAGCTAACGTGTTAAAGAAGGCGATTTAATCAGATTAGGCCAAAGTTTTCTTTTTTTTCCTCTAAAAGCAAAACGCTACGTGGGCTAGAAAACGAACACTTTAAATAAAAACACTAGCTGGACAGTGAAGCACAGCTGCAACATGATCATAATGTGGGTGTGCTCTTCTTCAGCATGGACACGGGAGAAAAAAACACAAAGCAACGCTGAAAACAAAATCCAGTTAGAGGCTGCAGAAGATTAGAGCCTGGACAAGAACTTCACCCTGCAGCAGGATAATAGGCGTAAACACAGTCAGAGCTATAATGGTTCAGATCAAGGCATAATTTTGTGTTAGAATGGCCTAATCAAATCCAGACCTAAATCAAATTGAAAATCCGTGGTAAGACTTGAGCATTTATGTTTATGGCCAGTTTCCATCCAATCTGACTGATCTTGAGCGATTTTACAAAGAAAAAAAAGGCAAAAATCTACTCTCAAGTGGTTCAAAACTGTTAAGACATGCAAAGGTGCTTAATATAAACATACACCTCGTTTCAGATTTTTTTATTCTATGCGTCAATTAAGTGTTATCACTACTTTGTACAATGGAGTTTCTGAGTTTGACATGACATGCATCTATGGCAAGTTAGGAATCAATAAAAAAAAAAAGGTAAATTATTAAAACTCTTAGCAACCCTGCTGAACACCTCTTATGCAACTTCCCCCTGGGGAGAAGAAGAAAGAAGTATTTCAGATGAATGTTTTTGCTTTATTTAACAACACAGGAGAAAAGCAGAAAAGACTGGGGGAAAAAAAATAAAGATGCTTTTAAGCCCCTCAGTCACAACGTGCTCTGAACTTGCACACACACACACACACACAAAAAAAAACCTCATGTTGAGTTAATGAGCACATTAGAGGATAAATGGCCACTTAGTTCTGCAGCAGATTTTCAAGTGTGCTTCAGGGAGGACCGTCGAACACGTTTCAAGGCAAATTATCGTTTCAGTCTAAAACCTTGCAGAGTAGATGGCACATTAAGAGTGGACGTACACGCACGCAGAGGAATTTAATCAAACTGAAGCTGAGCTCACTGTTTAAATGCCCAAAAACAGAAGCTAAAAAAGTCTTTCCACATTACTCATTTCCTGCCATACCTTTGACCGAAGCGTCCGCTTGGGAGAAGCGGAAAAAAGTGACCCCAACTCGAGTTGCTTATCAAGTCAGATGGGTTTGTGTTTTTATTCCATCTCCCGAGCAAGAGTGAGGGATTTAGTCGACGAAATTCAGGTCACACACACACACACACACAGATTAGTCAGACCCGATCCGGGCAGGAAAAACGCAGAACATCCAACACGCTGATGAGATGACGCTGTGTGTGATTAAAGATAAAAAGAGACAAGGGAAAGTTTATTCTTTTCCTTCAAAAAGTAATCTGTATTATATTTGTTGTGTAAGGATACAGTACAGAGACACGAAACAATCAGCAAATACAAAAAAGTCACTGAAGTAAAAAGAAAAAAAACAACAAAAAAACAAGAAAAGAATATTAAACGTGAGCTTTTGTAAATATAAATGAGGCAGCTCAAACGGCCTGCGGTGGTGATTTTAAACGAGCAGATTTAAACTATCCCTGAGATGTGGACGGACTTTAAAAAATGCCATAAAGAGACAATTAGAGTCAACTCTTTAGGGAGAAGGGATTTACTTCAAAGCCTTCCAAAATGATGTGGTCAAATAGGTCCAAAAGTGAGAGACGGTGTGTAGGAAGTCATGTAAGGATGAAAAACGGTTCGTTAAAATAGCCTGAAACCACAACAGTCAGGTTCTTTGTGTCCCTTATTGTCAATAATCAAGTGCATGCAGTTTTACTGAGTGTTACTCTAAGGTAAGGAAGCATTTGGAGTTTCATCAGTGCTGTTTTCTTTGGCCGGGCTGCTGCAGAAGAAGTTAAAGTTTCAGCAATCCTATCTGGGAAAGCACAGCACTCATTACACGGCTCAATTTCCAATTCTCTCACAGGTACAAACACACACACACGCACGCGCCCCCCCACACACACACACACACACGCAGAGTCAGAATACTAAATGAGGCCGCAGCACAAAACAATCTCCCAGACAGAGGCGCTGATACAAAACAAGGTGGACAAAAAGGAAAGACATCCATTATTATGTGAGCTTAGAGAGGGATAGGTTTAACTATTCATATGCTGCTTAAAGGGGGGAAGAAACACAACATGTTTCAGTCCATTAAAGGACTCCTCGCTCTGTGCTAGCAGAGGTGGTGGCTGCCTCCATCACATTAGGGCGGGAATGGAGTGGCTGCTCGACAGAGGCGAGCTCCAGGCCATTACGCCACCCCGGAGCGAGGAGCTGTAATTGCGGCGGGAGAGCACAATCAGGCGCCGTGTTCGTCTCTGTGATAATTTCTGTACCTGGCCCGGTCCTCCAAGCAGCCAGTCTTTCATCCGACTGCTTACGAGGAGCCACTTCAGCTCAGACGAGGCTGGATCTGAATGACCAGCAGACTCGGGCTGCAGCATCTAGGTTTCCCCCGCTGGTCAAACTTTGCAGCTGGTGCCCTCACTGGGATTCTCCCCGACCGGATGATTGCGCATCCAGAGAGACGTTGGAAACAATCGGCAGAGTGCAGCACCGACGCATTCCTTCTTGTTTATAGTTCTTCCCCGTGACTCGCATATTTTACATCTGTTGTGGTGGCCAGAAACCAGACCGTTGCAGTCCGACGGCAGCCTTTGGAAACCAACGCCTGGCTTCTCCTCTAAAGGTGGGGAAAATGCAGGCTAAGCAGGATTACCCGGCTGCTGAGCTTCACACGGCGTCACAACGGCAGATGACAAAACGGTACAGCGCTTGTTGAGAAATGAGTGCAACACTACTCTTACGAGAAAAAACAAAAACAATCATTCCTTTATGTCATTTGTTCCTCTTTAGGTGCAAGTCCCTTAAAAGCGCCTGGTAGAGGTTAGGCCTGTGCCAATGTTTGAGTTTTTAACGCAAAAACAAGAATAAAATGGGGGTTTCTACAGGCACAGTTGTCACATATACTAACAAGAGTGTAAAGTTTTACATTCGTTTATATATATATATATATATTAAAAAAAAAAGCACAGAAGCAGTCTTTGGACAAACTTAATGAGGGAATGTCAGTACAGCAACATCTGGAAGCATGTAGAGTACAAATGTTTATGATTGTCACCTTTACAATAATAATAATAATAATATAAAAAGAAAATCCAACAATAAGCGTTGAGGCAACAGTACAGCAAATGGAGGTCAGAGGTTCCCGTCGTCGAGCATCTTGTTGACCCCGTTGCAGATCCTCTGCAGGTGGGTCCGGTAAACCTCGGCGGGCCCGTACAGAGCCGCCAGGAAGTCGCAGTCGGCGAAGTGATTGAAGACGTGATTGACCCGCGAGTGGCTCTTGGCGGTCAGGTGGCGGCGGATGGCCTGGTGCAGGAGCTCGCGGCACTCGTTCAAGATGCCGCTCATGACGCGGCGGTCGAAGGTGAACTCGATCTGGTGGAAGCTGACGGCGGTCATGGCCAGAGTGTGGACCTTCTTCCTGCGAGGGGGAGAGAGCGAGTGAGAGGCCGTCAGTTTCTACACCAGAGCAGCAGCAAGAGGGGAGTAAAAAATAGAAAGTGCTGCCTCGTGATTTTCTGGAGGAAACTTTCAGGGCTCCCCCACTGCACTAGTTACAGCGCTGTCCTGCACAGCCACACATCTCCACGCTAACACAGGCCCCGTTCTCCAGACTCTGCACTTATGTCAGCTTCACAGTCCTCACACTTTTACTGTTTTAGTGGAAAATATACAAAGTAATGTAAAAGTCAATTTCATTAAGCTGCTTCCATCAGCACATTAAAAAAATGCCAAAAAAAAAAAAAAAAAAGGTTCATCCTTGTTACTTCTCAAGGTTTGTCAACTCCTGACATACATTGCTTACAGTCAGATGCTTGACTCAAACAGCCTAGTAAACACAAACCTGAACATTAAACCAGAGCTGAACAAAACAAAAACAGAACAGCTCAGGTGAATGAGGAACAGGCTGAGGCGGTGAAGGACATTTAAAGGTTTATGTAATCCAAGACGCTCAAAAACAAAAGCAAATCAAACGTTTTTGACAAATACGATTTAGCAATGCCTAAACATACTGTATTTGAGGGAACTCCAAACTAGGAACCACGTCACTTTGAGCGGTGGACCAAACCTCCAAACTGCTCGAAGGAGGTTTTCACCACTTAAACCTCAGCGATTTTGTTTACTGTTGAAGGCAGAGTGAGATCCAGAGATCTGTCTAAGGCCTTCAGTAAGGAGATTGTAGCAGCGTACGAGTATGATAAGGGATTTAAAAATAGCTGCTAATGTGCTCAGATCTGGTCGTCCGTGCAAGTTCACCGTGAAATCTGACTGCAAGGTGTTAAAAGAAGTCACTAAAAACTCTTCAGTATCTTCAAAACATTTACAGTAGGCTTTTTAACACTGATTAGGGAAGTATGTGTCTGAAATTGGCTGCACAAGTTTAACTTTCATGTGAGGTATATAAATAAAAACGGGTATATAAATAAAGGCCAGACTAAGGTTTGACAGACACAGAAAGTCATCATAAAAGCCTATTGATATCTAATATGTCTTAATACAGTTAAGGACGTGTCCTTGCAAACCTCGAGAACTCACTGCTCTTTTAATGACAGTGCCTACAAAAGGAAAAATCTAGATTTTGAAGCTACTACCCCTATGCATGTTTGCACCTTTCACTTCAGTACCTGAAATCCTACAAACTCTCACCTTCAAGAAAAAAAGAAAAAAAAAAAAGAATCAGTTTCTGAAGATTAACAGCAGTGTGGAAATATTTTAGGCTGGAGGTTCTGCCTGGTCCCAACAGATGAGCAGCCAATAGTCTGTAGGGTTAAAATTCATGGATGTCAGGAATAAGGTGGATAAGGTCCTGTTGACTGGATCTCTCTCGCAACATCACCAGTGCTGAGTAATTCTGTTACTAGCCTCACAAAGTGACCTACGTGTGTACAATTGATTAGTTTCTATGCTACAGAAGTCCAAACCCTGCAAACCTTCCTCACACAGCACGCACCACCAAAGCCGAGGCTGAAGGAGAAGAAAGCAAGAAAGCAGAGTAAGCTAAAAACCAAAAAATATTCCGGTAGAAATCTTACACCCTCTGTGCAGAATACAAGCAAATCATCAAGCTGGATCTACAGCACTGCAGGAAGGTTTGCAGGCCTGCTGTGGTTCCTGTTCTGACCTGATAAAGTCACTATGCTGATAGGCACAATGCTACCATTAACAACAAATAATGGCACTGTTTTTAACTAAACGACTTTGTTCCATGATGCAACAGCAACAAAGATTGAATAATGTGTTGCTCTGCTTGTTTGAGAAATGAAGTAAAGACAAAAAAATTATTAGAAACAAGCCAACTGTTTTAAAATAAAGTTGTTTTTTTACAGCATGTAATATAAAGTGTCTAGGAAAAACATTCATAGCCCTTTCCATATTTTGTGATGTTACAAGCACAAAAATCGAGACGTTTCATCAACATTTCATATGACGGGTCATAGCAAGGCAGCGCATAATTGGGAACTGAAAGTAAAATGATACATAAAAGTCTGACTGATGGAGAGCCTTGAAGAAGCCCGTTTGTAAAACACTCTTCAACACATTCAAGAGTGTGTTCTGATGAGATGAAACCAAATGTAAACTTTTTGGCCTACATGCAAAACGCTGTATGTGGCAGGAAACGTATAACCACAGCTACAATGACATAATTTAGGTTGAAGCACGTTAACTTTGGTTAAATGGACCTAAATCAGATTCAAAACATGTTGCAAGAATTGAAAACTGCTTTTAATAAATACTCTCCATCAAATCTGACAGAACTGGAGATGTTTGACGATGAAAAATATGAAAATTTAGCTATTTCTAAATATGCAAAGCTGGCGGACATACCCTTAGCCAAATCGAAAATGTAACAATACTTAATTCTATAATGTGATATTTCACATTAAATAAGAGGCTTGACGGTTTCTTCCATCTCACCTGAAGTTTTCCACCAGGATCAGCTCCTCACTGTTGAACTGGTTGTTACGGTAAAGCACGCCCAGCTTCACCACCATCTTGATTAGGTTTTTGATGATCTTCTGGGACTCTTTGCGGTTGCGCGTGTACTCCTTAGTGACGCGGTACAGCTCGTCCAGCACTTCGCTGCTGGTGTCGTCTATGAAGAGGTTGGCCATGCTCTTGGTGGCCATCTTGCTCATCAGCTTCTTCTGTGCCTGGAGGGCCAGGCTCTTGGTGCTGAAGGAGTCCATGGTCGAGTCTGGGTCAGGATGGAGCAAAGAGAGGACAGCGACCTGGTTAATGGTTATATCCACCAGGAAATGGATCATCTTACAGGACATGCCTATAAAGGCGATGTTTGCTCACTGGCGCTCTGCCGTCGGCGCAAAATTAGACACTAAAGCAACCTTTCCTTAGACATCCTGTTTGACAGTGCATTACCTTGGCAGTCTGCAACGCGTGAGGTTATTGCAAATAACATTTACACTGATAGTGTTTTAACTGCAGGGCCAAGAACTGTCTTTTTATCAGATAATGAGCCGTGGCAGCTGTCAAATTAGCGCCGGCACCCCTCTGGCTTGGTAGTTGGAGGAGAATGTGTCGTCGTGAGTGTGGGAGTGAAGTCGCTCAAAGCACGACCACGCAAAAGCAGCTGGTGTAATCCGGACATCTAGTTAGCCTAAAACCGTCCAGGGAACAAGGCGGACGGCCGGGTGTGCACGTGGAGGTGAGCTGCAGAGCTGCAGACGCGCAGAAGCCGTTCGGTCGCCGCGTACGGGTGGCTTGACTTTATGTGTGAATCTTTGTGTTTGCGTGCCAAGTGAGGTGACTCGGTGACAGGCTGCACGCATGATAAAAGCCCGTGAATAGTGGGAGGTCACGGGGGCTGCCGGCTTTCACAGCAGGTTTACACATTCCTCTTTTCAAAGGAATAAAATAAAGAGAATCTATTTTCCTCTCTAACCTTTGCGAATCTCCCAGCATCACCTGGGAGTATGTGGGGGGGAAAAAAAACAAGAAATTTGTTTTTTTTCTGTAACAGTCCATTAGCAGCACAGGAGAGTGAATGAACAGGTGTACCGTGAGCTTAATTTTACACGGGCTTGTTTACAGATTTACTATATATAAACAGCATCTACCTGTTGGAAAACAGGAGCTTTAAATTGATATAAAACGTTCATTTTCATTTAAACTCTGCAAATGAGTCAGATAAACAGTGGGACATATATAGATTCATGTCACAAATTCTGTTTATTTTTTATGATTATGGCTTACAGCTCATAAAATTTTGTGGCACGTAAGCCCAATAAAAATGATTTCATTATAGAAATGTTATGTCTATGTTATGGTTTACTCAATCAAGTGGAAGATTGCTGACTGGACTCCCTCCACCAGGAGCATAAGCCACAAAACGTTCACACAATGCTTCGTTCAAGAATTTTAAGAGTTTGGGAGAGACTCACACTGAGCCACCACACCTGGTCGTATCCAGGGCACGGACTGTTACATTTTATGTCTTAAGCAAATCTTAAACCACACACCAAGAAGTGTCCCCCCCATCTGGAACTGCTGCTCAGAGGTTCAAAGTCCTCTTTTCAGATGAAAGGACGTTTTGCATTTTATTTAGAAGTTAAGGTAACGACACCTGGGACTGACGAGTCACTGGAGGTTGACTGTGAAGCTTCTACAGTCAGTGAGGATTTAAAGATCCACGTTATCTGCTGGTGTTGGTTCGCTATGTTTTAGCGAGTCCAAAGTCAGCGAAGTCCTGTATCAGGATTTTTTTGTTTTTTTTTTTAGAGAACTTCATCAGTTGGGGATTTGATTTTCTTGCAGGGCTTGGCACCCTTCCTGGACTGCCAAAGGTACACATATCTGGTTTAATAACAATAGCACTTCTGTTCCTTTTTGCAGGCAGACTAGAGCATTGTGAAGAAGAAAATGAGAGAAAGCACACCCAATAATGTGGATAAGGAGGAGGCAGCAATTAAAGCAACCCGAGACTCCTTAGCACTCCAGCAGAACTACAGCGATTACAGAGGACACCTGCCAAGTTTTCAGTGGAATCCCAAATTATTTACAGAAAATTTAGCTATTTACAAATGTTTTTTTGTACAGCATATCTGAAATATTCAAAAAAAAAAAAAGTGCAATGCCATTGGTTGGCATTTGCAAAGCAGCCAAACCAGGACTGCCGTGCATTTTCCTCGTCACCGATTGGCTGTACGTCCAAAAGCCAAGATGAGGAAGAGTTCTTAAGCCTCTGAGACAGTTTCCATTGTTTATTAATGCATTTTAAGATATATTCGCTGTTCCAACTATTAAAATAGACAGGTATAGGTGAATAAAAAGTAAACCCAAATACCGATACCGGGTTTACTTTTTATGAGGCTGACATTTCCTCTAGCTATAAGTGCTAGCAAAACAGAAACCAGAGCTTTAAATATTCTGACACGTATGAGTTTCAGTTTTTGAATTGAATTAGTGAAACAAACTTTTTAATGACATTATAATTTATCAAGACACATCTAAAATGTCAAAACTAAACAGCGTATGCCTTGCCAGTTTTCTGCTCTTGTCTTTATGTAACCACTTTGAGTGCGAGGTGTTGGCCCTCTCTTACCGCATTATTACCTCACCACTATTGGGATCATATAGAAAGGATATTTCATCTTTAGCGAACTCAAGGAACTTAATATTCAGAAAATTCAGTCTGCTTGCATGTAGCTTCACAACTACGACTACGTTTTGTTGCTACAAGCTTTCATGTTCATTTATGGTTGAGTGCATGGCATTACCAGTCCATAAGAAACATCGGCAATGTGCTGTGGAGTTATTTAAAGGGATGAATCAGATTTTATAAATGAGGTTCCTGTACTTCTCAGTGCTGGGTACCTTATCTGTGGCAAACAGAAGTTTTATCAAGGGAGTTTGGAGAGAGAGATACATTCACATACCAAAGGAAGGCTAACAGTCAGTTTGGGGCTCCTGATAGGGAGGATTTAAGCAAACTCATATCAAACAGAAAAAAAGAGAAAAATAGCCAACACTATTATCAGATAAACACTTTCTACTCTATGGTGTGAGAGCATTGTTTAGTTTGTCACAGTTTCCTCAACCTGAACAACATCTGTGTCACTTGGCTGCAGAGGATACTGATTGTATCAGTCTGGCTGATATGATTTACAGAGGGAGAGCTCTGCAGAAAGGAGGGCAGAGATAGAGAAAGACACTATGCTGCTGAGGAAACTCAAGAGAGAATGCAATCTACCTCGTGGTGCTGATCCAAACAGTGTTACGCTGCCGTCACAGCCTGACTGCTAAAGTATTCCTTCCCAGAGTGGAAAGGGACAAGGACACGACCTGACAGTCCATTACGCTGGGATACCAGCGCTTCACTGGGTTTGCATCATAGCGTTCAGCAGCTCCTCTCAACGTCTATGCTCTGCTGTTAGACCTTATATATATATATATATATATATATATATATATACAAAAACTTTTTATGCTGCATTATAAAACTAGTACCCCTAAATGTATTACAGAAAAATGCAAACTGTGTAAGATGATATTATGATAATATATTATGCCGCTCTAGCCAGCAGCATTATAACCATTTCATAGGAACAAAGGGATAGTTTTTATTTAACATATTTTATTATTTTTACAATATAGAAATGAAGAGTACAAACTGAACCAAAAAACTTTCAGAATGTACTAAACAGCCCAACCCATCAGTTCAAAGATACTAAACATGAAACTAAATTCTTCCCCCTTCAAAAAACAAATCAGTAAATACAACAAAAAACGAGATAATTAAGTAAATGATAATTAAGTAACCATTAAGTAAATGGTTAGGTTTTAGACAAACTAGTATTTTTGCACGTTTTCAATAGAGGATATGTAGTTATCCTTTGCTTATGCTGGGCTTCTATCACGATAGATATCACAATTTACGGTTGAAGTAATAATATTTTACTTTTTGAAACATGTTTCTGTTGCCTGAAGTAATATCCACAACCAGAATGTGACAGGAAAATCTGAAGAGGGAGTTAAAGGTGATGCTGACGGCAGACAAACCGTCCAAACTCAAAGCTCATCATCAAAATAGCAGTGGAAAAACGCCAAACCCGGGTCATCAATTAAAAGAACACTGCTGAAGCAGAAACCAGCTAATTCACCGGTTGCTGAGAAGAGCATAAAGAACTGCATGCTTCGATTGCAGAAAAATAAATCTTCATCCTAAAAAAACTTCGCATCCTGATGTAAAACTGGCATCTGTCAGTTTTACAGATGTACTTTTGCGTCTGTAAAACTGGAAGATTTGTCGATATGACTGAAGTGACTTGTAAAATTAGCATGCTATGATTTCCCAGAGGAAAAACTGACATGTCCTTGCAAATAATTTCATGTTTTTAAAAGGAAAAAAAAAAAAAAAAAGCAAACAAAGAAAAAACGTTAAAGCTGAAAATAAAAAGTATTAATTGAGGGGAAAAAGGTGTTTGTTTTTTCTATTCAATGAACAATAATTTGGCTAAAAGTGTGTAAATCTTGGCATGTTGCATCTGAAACTTAAAGTACATCCGTTCCTTTGTTAAATAAACAATGCCTAGCCCAAGAGTGAGGAACTTGGGGAAGTGACGAAACGCACACAGAAATAAAGGAAACACTTCTACACCTCAGGGGGAAAAAAGACAAATAAAGCAGACTCAGTCAGATCAGATTTCCTTCCTTTCAGAGTCTCAGACATGCGATTCATTGCAAAATGTAACTGCAAAAAAAAAAAAAAAAAAACCCCAAAGAAGCTGCATTTAACCAAGTGTCCCATTGACATCATGATAAAGAGTTAATCTCTATGTCTCAGCATGAAAAGAGCTCTAAAGATTAATTGAACATATGCCCCAAAGGCCAACTGTCGATCCTCTCGCAGGGCCATAATTACAAATCCAAAGCAGGAAAAACGAAAAAAAGGAGCTACGAGATTTCCCTGCTGGGTAAGTTGTGATTTTTTATTTTCCCACTGTTGATGGAAGCAGAAAGGAGGCAGTGAATCTCCTGCTGCAGTGTGTGACTTTCATTCCTCTCTTTCCCTCCGTCTGCAATGCCTCTCTAAGCATATCAATAAGACTCCTTGGAGAGCGTCAGCAGGACGCCTCCCAGAGAGGAGACGCACGAGGAGAGGGCGAGCGAAGGCGTGGAGATGGGAGAGAAAATAACGAGGGTGGAGGTGTGTTACAAGTCAATACTGACGCGTTGAGA